AGCGGTGCGGGCAGCCCGGAACGGGAAGGAGCCCTTACTGGTGTCTCCGCATGCTGGCAGCAAGCCGGGAATGGTCTGCAGCCCAGATACCAGAAGGTTTTCAGGAAGGAGGTGAAATATCGTCTCCAGGGGCTGGTGGGGCTTCAGCGTGTACTGCAGGTGGCTCTTCTCCATCACCATCAGGTATTTGTTCTCTGAAGAGAAAACATCCCAAAATGACCAAAACAGGGCAGGGGGGCAGCTTTGCAGCACCACTGTTGAAGAAATCATTATCCATGAACACACGTGTTGGGAGCAAAGAGAAAGCTGGGTTTGCCCGGCCAGGCTTTTCCCAGCTGGCAGCAAGGCACGGCCACTTAGCACTACCAGGGCACGGACCACGCACCGCACCGGCTGGGCAGACACGATACCCGTTGGGTAAGAGAGGCCGCCAAGAAAGGAGCGAGACGCAACATCTTGCTGCTGCTTACTTTCCACGGGGTCCTGGAAGCGCGGGTGCAGTAAGGCGCGTGGCGTCCCATGGTACAGCTTCAGCCTGAAAGCAAAGAGCACGCACGTGGCGGTCAGCAACTCCACCCTGAAGCACATCTTCACCTTCCACAACGCCTCTGCTCAACAGTAAGAGACCACCTTCCTACTCTGTACCAGCGGTAAAAACCCTATCCTTTAGGGAAAAGACAGGCAACACTTACAAACCCATCGCTGCTTCCCCAGCAGTGAAGAATTCCAGGTTTCTAAATGCTGGCTCTGTTTCTGCAGCCCCGGGACCACCCTCTCTCCCCCCAGCACAGCCATGCATGTTGCCACCCCGAGTCCCGGCGCACCCCGTCACACAGCGGCGGGGGGACCTACGCTCTGTCCTCGGCGGCTGGGTCTGCCGCCTCCAACCCGCTGCCGAAGAGGGGGATGAGTCCGAAGCCGCAGGAGAGATGCTGAGAGCCCCCGTCCGCTTTGCCGGCCATCGCCACCACTTCCACAACGGCAGCGATGCCGGGGTGGTTCAAGGAGGTGTGGAAGTAAACGGTCTGGGACAGGAAAGAGAGAGAAAGGTTATTTCAGTGGTGGTGGCTGCAGGCAGAGCAATACCTGTTGCATTTGGACAGCCAGCGGTGCAACCAGAACAGCCATTAAAACTTCCAGACAGCAGCTCATGGCAAATGACCTCCGGCACCGCTCAGAAAGCTCAACCTCCTTAAATCTCCATCATCATCAGCTTTTTTCTTTTTCTTGTTGCTAAAACCCATTTTCCAGAGGGTTTCCACTCGCAGGCTGCAGACCCGGCGAGAGCAGGGCTTCGCCACGCCGCTGGCCTACAGCATTACAGCAAGCCCTGTGCGGGGACAGCCCAAGGGGCTGGAAACCCTCCTGCGGCCGGCAGGGGAGAGGGGGGCGGCCCGGAGCTGAGGGCGGGGGGCACAGGACACAGGTCACCTCCCCAGGACAGGATTTAAAGCTAGGTTAATCTTTCTATTAAAAACTCATTACCACAGTGTCCCAGGGAAAACATTTACTGTAATCACAGGCCGTCAGGAAAGGATAACAGAGAGAGACATTACCGCATCAACCCAGGGAAATAAATCGTTATTCTATTATCTTTTATTGCAAAACGTTGAAATAATGACCGCTGGCTGCAGACCGATGCCTCGCCTTGCAAAGGCGCAGAGAGCCCTTAAAGCAGATCCCTTGTAAAACCAGGCTCGCTGCTCCCTCTGCGAACACCAATGACACCTCGCAACGGCTCCTTCCTCTCCCCTAAACCCTACGAGGACGACGCAGCCGGGGCTCACCTTGGCCGGCCACACATGCAGACCCCGTCCCCTGCCCACGCGCCTTCCTCCTCCGGTGAGCGTGCAGGCAGCATGTGCAGGCAGCACGTGCAGGCAGACGCAAGGCCCCTGCACACTGCCAGGTCCCGCGAGGCGGCTCTCCGGCAGCTTCTCCTTCCCTCACCTTTCACAAATCGATCGCGTCTGTACCCGAACTCTTTGCGACACTGAACTGCTGAGTATCACAAAGTGAAAAGACCCCAGCGCTCAGCTGCGGCAGCAGCCAGCTGCATCGCGCCCGCAGACACCTCTCTTCTGCCCCGTCGCCTCCGCGAGGCCCCGAGCGCTGCGGCTGCGCCGAGCGCGCACGGCAGGCTGCAGGGGACGGGCAATGCAATTCGGCGACTGCCGAGAGGCTGCAAGACGCGGTGCCCTTACACCCCGAAGCTCTGCCACCTTCTCCCAGCTGCACGCCCGGCACCCAGGAAGCCTGCAGATGTAGGGATGGTGCTGGGAAAGGCAGCTCCACCCGGCACCTGGCAAGGCACGGAGCGCTGCCATGTTTTTCTCGCTGCGGCACTCTCTGCTATAGTTTTTTTTCTCCATCCCTCTTCAAAATAGCAGGGGTCGGCCCGTGATTAACACACTCATGGAAGAAACGCACGCATCAGTGCCCCTCAGGTACCACTACCAATTTAAATAATGAAGAAGCACGGCTCTAATCAGCACTACACTTCATCTGCGGCTCAGAGCACTGGAAGAGGTAGAAACAAAAATTTAATTATGAAAGGTGACATGTCGGCTGTCGTCCACGCTGCGGGGCAGCAGGATCTCCCAAGTAAGGGGGCACCCGGGTCTGCCGGTATCAGCAGGGGATGGAAGCGTGGCTTTGGGAGAGTTCATCTCCCAGCTAAGGGGAGAAAAGCGCTGTGCCGGAGGCGGCTGCTCCTTCCCTTCCTTCCCACTTGCGAAGTAACACTGCTCTCTGCCGCCAGCTCCGAACACAGCAGGCGGCCCAGGGCAGCACACGCCGCTCCCGCGCCCTCGCTCAGCCCCGGGGGGAGCCCAAGGCCCCAGTTTCCCCATGCCAAGTAAACCGGGCGTAAAAACTTAATAATTGGGCGCTGTCTGGGGTGCACCCTGGGCAAAGGACTGGGAAGCGCCGGCAGGGAAAAGGGTTTGCTGCTGCTGTCTGCCTGCGTGCAGAACGAACCGCTGCAGAGAAGGCCCGGTGGCACAGGCAGACCGCGGGCCAGAGCCCCAGCACGGTTAGGACTTGCTGCTTTACAAGGCTCACGGCTACGGCACGCTGGCCGCGGGCCCCAGAGCTCCGAGCTCTGCTTCCACTGGACGGAGGGAGTAAACCAGCACCAGAGGAGAGCGGCTCCAGGCTGAACCTGAGCAAAGCCGGCTTTTCCCTTCGCGCATTAAAACCCTCCCTCCTCGGAGGGGGCTCCCGCAGCTCCAGCTGCCCCCCAGGGGACCGCTGCCCCCCCACCTGGGGGGCTGCCGCGCTCTCCCAGACCCAGCCGGCCCCCCCGCAGCCCCCCAGCACCCTACCTCGTTGAAAGCCGCCCTGGCCGGGTGCGGGCCGCCCTGGCCGGGTGCGGCGGGTCGGCGCGGGCAGCTCGCCGGCTGCTCCTCCACGTCCTCCCGAAGAAGTGGTGGTAGGTGGCATCGAAAAGGGAGAGGCGCAGCTGGTACTCGGCTCCCTGCAAGGCAGGACAGGATGGGAGGTCCCGGCACGGGGGCCTGCTCGGGGACACGCCAGCTCAGCGGCCCCGACGGCAGAAAACACACTTCAGTGAGAGGGGACAAGTAATTCCCGCTGCCTAACTGATGCCCGAATCAGGCACGTGGCCACCTACAGCTTCGCGCATTGCTGGAGAGCCCTTCTCAAAGCCAGGGGCTGCGCGAGCAGAGCAAAAGTGGGAAAAATGAATATTAAGCATACGATAAAGGAGCAGCAGACTTTTAAAGTGCGACCCAGAGACTTTAGCGTTAAAATGCGTACCTAAATTAAAAAGTAACAACAATTAAGTTAAAAATTAATTAAATACTAACTCGTATTTGCAGGTAAAAACGCACGGGATCGAGACGTGGCTCCGATTCGCCTTTCCGCGAGATCTACAGTCAGCTCCCCCCAAAAGGGGCAACCCCCTTCCAAACCCCCGCCGTTGCGGGCGCAGCCAGGGGACCCCGCCGGGCGGCGGAGC